CGGCTTAATATTTCGATTGACTATTTCGAGAACGATCAGGTTGTTCACCGAATATCAAGTGCCCGTATAGCCTTGGAAGAATCAGTCGCGCTTCCATGGGATACAACTAAAATTCAAGTAGACGTTAATAAATGGGCTCATGTTGCAATTTGGGAAGGTCGGCGGCTCTTGCAAATCTAATAACCAAAATGCATTTCTTGCATAAGTTTAAGTATCATAGTCTGTTACATTAGTAGGTATTTATTGATAACATTTTGATATCACCATCATCATTATTTTCAGCTTATTCAAGTATTTCCAATTATGGTGTCGTCTCTCTTACATATTTACTTTTATACTCTCTTTCTTTGTAGATGGACCAGTGGCGCAACTAGGGAGGGGCTAGGGGGTAGCTTAGTCCCCCCCTAAATTACTTGGTTTTACCCTCAAATGAATATTATCTTATAGTGACCTAAGGCCCCCCAAAAGACTTGAGCCCTCCTTAAAAGTAGGTGTCTAGTTGCGCCCCTGAGTTGAGCCCGGTTGCTGTCTATTGTTAGCTATGCGGGCCCAAGTTATCCCTGCTAATTTCTTAATATCATAGTCCCATCTCAGGTTTGGTCTTCTTCTAGGTCTCTTAATTTCTCGTAGGTACCATGCTGTAATTTTTGTGGTCCATCATTTTTGTGGTCCGTTCTTCCTGCCCATTGACAGTTGAAGGATTTGATTCTGTGGATGACATCTATTATCTGGGTTTTTTGTCCTATCCACTGTTCTTTTACTGTCTTTCTTGGATATTCCCTGCATATTTTGTTTCATTGAGCGTTGTGCGATCTACAGTTTCCTTATAAAGTCCCTGTTAAGTGTCCAGGTTTCGCATGCGTAGGTCATGACTGGTAGTACACATTGGTCGATTTTTTCTTTTTAAGATACAGTGGAATTCTAGATTTGAATATGATTGAGTTTCTTCCATAAGTACTCCATATCTCCTCTAAATTTCCATCAACCTCCTCCACATTTTGATATAATGGTGTTTATATCCGAGATCGATATATTATCAATATTCGCTAAGTTAGCATAGTTTTACTGTCTTTACTCGGTGTTCGGTGTTACTATCAAAAAGATCTCAAATACTGATGAGAAATTAGTGGAGTGGGGGATGAGGTTCTTTTTACTCACCGCGCTTCACAAGATAGAAGGTAACCACCCCAACATTTTTTTAATACGCATTATTAATGAGGTCTCTTTGGGGTCTCATTAATGGGGTCTCATGGCAGATTTCAGACATGTCGATGACGATAATTTTCTATTGGTTAAAATATTTTGACTGGAATCTGTATCCAAATATTTTCATGTTATGTTTTATAGCATGGAATCATAGAAAACCAGTGGTTTTAATATTAAATCATTTTTAACGTATAATCATCACTTTTATTTTGAATTTTGATTCCAAAATGAATGAAACTATTAATTTAAAATAAAAACAAGTTGGAAAAATTACATTGCTAATATATATAATATGCGGTACCGGTATGCGCCGAAGTAGGTCAAGGTTAAATAGTAAAGAGAATTATTTCGTGTTTCCTCATCTAATGAACATAAGCGAGATGAGACAAAGTTAGACAAGGAACACGTCTCGTCTCGCATCAAACTCGGGTCCGTCTATGAGGCAGCCCTTTTTGATGCCTAGACGGAACTTTTAGATCGTATACCTAATATCTTCCTAATATTCCTTGATATGTGTTACTTTAAGTTAATATTTAAAATTTTAAATCATATGACTAATTTTTGAGATACCTATCAAAGTCTAAAAAGTAAGCAACATTGTTGAGAGAAAACAACTTATATTTCACATTTTCTGAGACAAAAAATCTGAAATACACATAAGGAATGTTCCATCCTCCAAAATGTATCTAAGATCTTTTAATAGTATGTTTTATCTATGAGAATCGGCCCCTATAACTTTTTATTTTTTTTTCAGATAAATAAACGAGATTTAGTATATGACATAAATCAGGAATGACTGACGTATTCAATTTTTGATCACTTCCTGTTTTACCAGAAATTACTACAACTTTTGATTTTTAAATGGTACCGTCTGTATTCTTTTTATATTTATTCGATAGAAAATGACATTCTGAATAAAATGGCATCTCACATGTTAACTTTTTACATTTTTTCTTAAAAAATAGTATTATAAATTTAAATATAGAGTCTCATATTGTGTCCATAACAATTTAACTCGAAATACCAAGTATGTGGTACAAAATTATTCATATGTTTCTTTTTTCTAAAGATATGCTAGTAAGAATAAGCCACCCTCGTTCCATTTGAAAATTTCAGTTAATATTAAAAATACGATTTGAGCGTGTTTTAACCGGTAAGGAGAAGTCAAGAAAAACATTAGACGATCAAAAAAATCTTTGATTATAAATTAGAAAATTAGTAGGCAAAAAGGCCCTTTGATTATAAATTAGAAAATTAGTAGCTTTAACACAGTCATGGCGCGAAGATATCAAAAGTCATTACATCATACGTCATTACATTCAGAATGTCATTTTCTATTTCTATAAAATAAAAGTGAAAAAATACCGAGGGTACCATTTGAAAATCAAAAGTTGTAGTCATTTCCGGTGAAACAGGAAGTTGCGAAGTGCATAGGAACTGTCATATACATACATCTTTCTTATCTGAAAAAGTAAAAAAGTTATAGGGTGAGGTATATTTAAATCAGCTGTAATGAGGTATTTCTGCCAGCATTTATAAGGTTTCGGGTTCGAAGCTTGGATATTTGGATGTTCTTGGCGGTTCCCAAACCGAGACTGACATTAGTCCCTATAACTTTATACTTTATTATTTCAGTTTCCATTCCATGATTATCTTTTTTCACTTCTCATCTTGCCTACGAAAATTTTAGGTCCGGTTCTGATTCCGCCAACGATTGCTCCTGTCCTGATTCCACAAATTACCGATAATCTGTCTTTGTCTTAGCGAGGCATAACATAATAACAAAAATTTATTATCAATTTATTTTCCGTTGAATTAAGATTACGTTTTAAGTTTATTGAACCATTTTTATGAAATCTTGCTGGTCATTTTGTATTAAACAAATTTTCAAATTTACCTACCCAATATAGCAGTTAGTTTATTATTTTAAATATAAAATAATCAAATTCAAATTAAATGCATATTAGATACAAATTTATGAAATGCATATTAAATATTCAAATTAAATACATATTAAATATCTGTAGAAACACAATTAACATTTTTATAGAGAAAATAGGATCGTTCAGCGATAATCATAGTTTGTGTATGAACTTATAGTTAATTTATTACTATTCCAATTTACACTCATCGGCAAAAGTCTTGCACCCCCCAGATAATTTTTTTTTTATCGGATCGTTCAGCGATAATCATAGTTTGTGTATGAACTTATAGTTACTTATAGTTAGTAATTTATTACTATTCCAATTTACACTCATCGGCAAAAGTCTTGCACCCCCCAGATAAATTTATTTCTTTGCATAGCATATTGTTGTGGCTATGTGTACAAATACCTTAATATGTGTCTACAAAGAATAGGTCATAAAAGCAATGAAAGAAAACCTTATCGATGGAATGTATATGATTTTGCTATTTGCAGTCAAATTTTGTTTCTCAGTTCGAGTTCAATCTTGTAGTAAGTGTTGTGAAAGGCGACAAAAATGCCAGGGCACGAAATTTCTGCCTTCAAATTATTGCTTTGCATGAAGAAGGTCTCAGCAGGCTTCAAATTGCTGATCGTTTAAATTTACGAAAGTACTGTAAGCCGAATTATACAACGGTATATGGACACCGGAAATGTAAAAGATCTCGTCCTAGGTTGGATAGTACAAGGGTAACTACTGAACGACAGGATCGCTACTTGGCTCAATTTGCCAGAAGAAATCGGTCAGTTCCAATTCGAGAGCTACGATCTCAGTTTCAACGAACTTGAGTGATATCAAGCCGAACCATTTCCAGGCGACTTTCTAATGCTGGATTGCGGCGCGCGTATACGTTCACTGCAAGCCCCTCTATTAATTTTACACCATAGGCAAAGGAGGCTACAGTGGGCTAGAGAACATCAGAACTGGTTATTACCTCAGTGGAGAAACGTAATTTTCACTGACGAAACCAGGATAGGTTTGATTAGTGATAACTATCGTCAGCGAGTGTGGAGGGAGGCAGGGAGGCCGCATCGCTTGAATACAGCCCTTGCTGTTGCTCCTTATCAAGGAGGAACTGAGATGTTCTGGGGTGGCATCATGAACAATAGGCGAACAGAGCTCATTCATATTCCTGAGATAATAAACGCACATTTGTATGTGGAAACTGTAATCAGATCAATAATTTATCCACTGCGAGAAGAAAAATCGGCAATAATTTTATTCTCATGGATGATAACGCTCGTCCTCACAGAGCTAGGATGGTCCAGGAAGCATTAAATGAAGGGGAAATAACTCGTCTGGACTCTCCCCTCAACTCTCCCCCGACTCGCCTCCACTCTCCCCCGACATGAATCCTATTGAACATGTCTGGGACTACATCACCGGAGCTGTATTTCGCAGAAATAACCCACTAAGAAATCGCCTGGAGTTGATCATTGCCGCTCAAGAGGAATGGCAGAACTTACCTCAAGAAACCATAAACAACCGTATAGTGGAGATACCCCGAGGACATGATGCACTCATAACAAATCGAGGAGGCAATACTTTATATTAGTAACCTTAATTTTGTGAGAATTTATTATTTATTAATTTATTTTCTCTTTTTTGTCAAACATTTTTCTTTAAGGAATTTGCATTTTATTGTATTTTAGCAAGTATATTATTAAACTTGGTGAAAGTTTTTCCTTTTTTGTGTTATTTTTTAACATAATTTTAGCATCTCTTGATTTCCAGGAAAAATTAGTTTGAAATGTAATTTTTTATTAAAATAGTAAAGGGATGCAAGACTTTTGCCGATGAGTTTATTTGGATATTTTTTTATATACATACCATACTGTAATTTGCTTAATGGAATCCAAGGACTCCAGGTGAGGATCTTGGTTATGAAGCTGGCATGTCCGTAGCTAGCAACAAACATTATTCCTATACTGCCCAGAGCCCATAGAGGTCTGTGTAGGGCTGCATATGCTCCACTCTCGTAGGGGTTGTAGGGATGATAAGGGTTGTAGAAAACTGCCCCGCATAATACAGCAGCTGCCACTGAGATGAGCGAAAGCAGAACTATAAAAATCGACTTTGTCTGAAACAAATTTATAATATATTAATATTAACGGTAATAGCTATTTATGTAACTAGTACCTAAAATGATGTTTTTTAGGACGAATCATTACTGTTTGCGGACGAGGCGTTAGCCGAGTCCGAAATAGTAGATGAGTCCTAAAAAACATAATTTAGGTACGTGTTACATACACTATTTTTTGTCATACGCTTTTTACAGTTTTTTAGAACGCATATTTGCAAATTTTCCATATTTGAAATTATAATGTTTGAAAAAGTTGGCTTATAAATTCATATCTTAGTAACGAGTTTGTTTATTTCATCGCATTTTGACATGTCATTCGAAATTTGTCACAAAATCACACAAATTCATCAACAATTTAGACATTTTAGTCCATAAAGGTTGCCATGACGACCTTTACGGCCTAGGCCGAAAAAGAAACATTTTACGGACTGAAATGAGTCCGTAAAATAGCTGTTTTTGGGAGCGTATGACAAAAAAATATTTATTGTGCAAAACTGGATATATTTCAGAAAAAGCCTGTATAATTACCTTACATATATGGGTGTCTTTTCCCTTCAGCTTGTAATACAAATAGCCAGCAAACATTCCTATGAAATATGGTGTGGCTCTCGTGTGAGACTTGACGTAAGTCAGCAGGAAATCGGGATGCACTTTTGGTCCTGTCAGGAATTCGGGATAAAACATCAACATCGCCGGTCTCTTATAGACTACTGTCAATATAAAAGGGATAACCTAAAAAGTTGATGAAAATTATTCCAAAAATGGTAACAACCTAAAACACTTATTAACGAATCCATCAAAAATTAGAAATATTTATAAGTATATAGGGTGGTGACAATTTCGATGCTCAACATTACCATCTCAGAAACTACGAGAGATACGAATTCGGTTAAATGGGACAAAAGTTGCGTAATTAGAAGTCTGACAAACACCTATGAAGAAAACACCGGTATCCTGATTAGTTTCGGATTTATGTCAAAAAAATGAAAATTGATACGTTTTTTTTAAATGACGATATCTTCAGAACTATTGTATCTATTGCAACGTAAGTTGGTAGTTTTATATTTTTGACCTCTGCCAATCAAATGCCGTTTTCAAGTTAAGTTTTTCTTATTAATAATTAAGTTAATCTATACGGTGGTATCTAATTTTTATTCATTATTATGTAAATTCACTAAAAAAATAGATGTTTTAAAAATTCGCTCAAAAGATCAAGTATGCCTTAGAAATCCAATTGACACTTTATATGACAGCAACTTATTTTTGGTTTATTCTATTAAATGTCAAATCTGAACGCACAAAAATTGTATATCAGAGGCAATACAGGTCAATACAGAACCTAAAATTTTATGGTACAGAACACGTTCAAAGAATATCTTATTTGTGGTCTGGCTTCTCTAATTAAATGGGGATTTTCTTTTGCAAAATAATGTAAATTTTTTCTATTAAATGTATCGGAATTTGTAAATAAAGATTCATCCGTCCGTAATATTTTTCTAGAAAAAAGGGAGCTCTCTTGAACACTTTACCGAAACCATCTGCAAAATTGTAATCTTCTCTCGTGGTCACCAGCAAGTAAAAAAAATGTATATTTGGTATAGATTTAACTTTAAAGTTGTGATATTTATGTTTTTTGATAATTTTTCCTACATAAGAATCACTTATACAACACTCGCAACTTATTTTACGGCTAGAAGTTTCCGGATTAATTTCAGTTTGAGCTGCTACATTAATATCATTAAGCCTTTTAAAATATTGCCCTCTTGTTTTTATAGCTACCAGCAACTGATAAATTTCTTTAAATCGTTGCAAAAATAGTACGATGAGGCTGTGTCCTTTCAGGATACAATGTTCTATAACTTGCGCATGCCATATCGAAATTTCTATTATTTTTTAAGTAAACATCATATATATCTCGTATTTTCTCACTTGTAAACATATTGTTGACTGTTAATACACTTTACACTATCTACTATACATTTTTGAGTCCAGATTTGACACTTAATAGAGTAAACAAAAAATAACTTGCTGTCATATAAAGTGTCAATTGGATTTCCAAGGCAGACTTGATCTTTTGAGCGAATTTTTAAAAAATGTATTTTTTTCAGTGAATTTACATAATAATGAATAAAAATTAGATACCACCGTATAGATTATTTTTTGCTCTATCTAACAGGATAAAAATTCAAAATGGCGGCCATAAGAAAACAAAAGCTTGACTGTTGTGCGAAATCTAGAAGGCTTCGAAATTTTCTGAAAACTGCATTTAATTGGCCTAGGTCAAAAATATAAAACTACCAACTTACGTTGCAATACATACAATAATAGTTCTGAAGATATTGTCATTTAGAATAAACGTATTATTTTCATTTTTTTAGCATATTCGAAACTAATCAAGATACCGGTTTTCTTCATAGGTGTTTGTCAGACTTCTAATTACGCAACTTTTGTCCCATTTAACCGAATTCGTATCTCTCGTAGTTTCTGAGATGGCATTGTTGAGCATCGAAATTGTCACCACCTTACATATATACTTATAAATATTTGTAAATTTTGATGGATTCGTTAATAAGTGTTTTAGGAGAATAAATAAATAGTAAAAAACTCTAAAGAGAAAGAAAAAAATAAAAACGAAGTGAAAGAAAAAGAACAAGTAGTACTAACAAATCAATAGTTCTATCCTTAGAAATGTTGTATATATTGTATACTTACCATTGAAATTATGATTATTGTAAATAAGGCACTCAATCCAACTTTCTTTTCTTTCTTTATCAGCAAACATATTCCTATGGCTATGATAAAATAGTGGAAATCGCATGGCAAATACCAGGCATGCGTCATACACTGAAAAAGGAAAAATTTAGCAAAAACTGCTATTTATAAATTACTTATAACTTATAACAAAAATATAGTAAAAGTTGAGGTAAAAGTAGTCACACACGTTCAATTTTATAACAAAGCTTTGGACTGTGCTATCCAAACCTTAAGATATTCTTAACATGTATGATGGAAATTTGAGGAGGCTGATGAACTGTACAGCCCATTTAAACAATTTTAAAGGCCTAGCCTAGACTGTTATTTTTGCTTTGAGGAAAAACTGTGTTGCTTGCTACCTAAAGGTGCGTTCACATCGGCTGCGCCGCGCAAAACCTTTTTTTAACATGTACTTTTGAAGTGTATTTTTTGCGCGCACAAAAGTATATGTTAAGAAAATGATTTGCGCAGCCGGTGTGAACACACCTTAAGACAATTCGACGCATGTTTGAATCATGAATCATAATTTTGGATATGTTTTCTTGTCTTTTTAAAAAGAACAAAATTAAAATTTTTCACCTTCTTTGTTACTTTGACATTAAGTGTCAAACGGTCAGAAAACGAATTATGTGAATTTCCTATAGTATAAATACTGCCTGCTTAAGAATTTAAAAAGTGTATTTATAAAAATATATCTCGTATTTTCGCTCTTTAGTGATATCTAGCAGTTGATATTATTAATAATATTCCGTATGATCGAAAAAAAACAGCACGAAGTTGGCTCGAAAATGATGCTGCTTTTTAAACAAAGCGTCACAATATGACAGGGCCAGATCTATTGTTTTACATCACTTGACGTTTAAAATCATAGGCTAATGGTTAAAACCAAGAAAAATATACGCTTTAAAAATAAATCTTAAATAACTTAAAAACGATTTAGGTATAGGAACATGTATAGTTAAGAGTAACGAACTGAAAAGCCGTTTCACTAGTGAAATAAAAAAGTGAATTTTCATTTGTGATAATTTTTTAATCGCTCAATTCAGCTGCGACCAATGACAGCTGCGGCCATTATTATATGATATTCGAACAATTTAATTTATGAAATAGATAGCCACATGTTTTCTCCTTATGGCACAGTGGCTGTGGTAATCACTAAATTTGACGTTTAGGCTATACACATATTTTTGGAAGGCAGTTTTTTTCGTTCAAAAATGTTAAATATTTTTTTTCTCAAAAACGGTTAATGTTAGATATAGGGTGTTTATATCAAAATTCATAAAATTTTACAGAGAATTTAAGTACATAATAAAAATTGGGGGCACTCATTTAAAATAAGAAAGTTGCTGTCAACTTCCGGTATTTCCGGAAGTGCAGCCATATTGAAAATATTTTAAATCGATAGATCTCGTTGGGAAACTATGATGTGCAAAAAATCTCGGAGCTAGATGTTGTAGTTCTCTAGAAACTTCTAATGCACGCTCTGCCTGGGACACCCTGTATATATATCATACTGTATTACTAAGAAGTGATCTTACTGTATTATTAAAAAATAAGAATAACGTCATGTGTGTATAATGTCTAAGTGTCTTAACGCAACACACACCGTAATTAAAAATAGTAGAAAGTTATATTTAATTATCAAGCAAACCCGTTAAAACAATAATTATTTAAATCTTACATAACTCTTTTTGAATATTTTAAAATATAATACAAACAAGATTTTTATACAAACGAAATAGTTATACTTAACTGTACGCTGTGCAATATTAATGTTTAATACAATAATATTTTATTTCCTCTGAAGAAAAATGAAAACTTTCTTTATTGCCACACATGCTAACTCTTTCATGTTTGGATATTTGTTTAACCGCAATGTTATCATATCGAGAAAGACCATTATAGACACGAGAATAGAGAAATATGTCCATTAAGGTTTATTAGGTAATATACAGGGTGGCCTCACTTAAATTTCGAAGAGCTTTCCAGTTGAATAGGTATGTATAAATATTTGGTTGCTCAAAAGTCTGATCAAGAAACGTACCTAATAGGAAAATACAGGGTGCGTCTCAAAAGTGGCTCACTCCTATAACTTTTTAATTTTTTCAGATAAAAAAACGATATTTGGTATGGTAATATATGACATAAATTAGATTGATTGACGTTCGTAATTGTTTTTGGTCACTTCCTATTTCACCGGAAATGACTACAACTTTTAATTTTTAAATGACACACTCGGTATTTTTTTACTTTATTCGATAGAAAATGACACTCTCAATCTCAATAGAATGACATATCATGTCAACTTTTGACATTTACGCATATGGTTTATTTGAAATTTTAACATGCGATTCGAAACGACAAATTTGACTCGAAATACCAAGTGCGTGGTACAAAATTATTCGTAAAAAAATGATTTTTCCAAATATGCTAATGAGTCACCCTTGTTCCATTTGAAAAAATTGAGATATCATTAAAAATAAAATTTGGACAGCTTTTAACCGGCCAGGACAAGACACGAAAAGCATTAGACGATAAAATCTATTTTTCTAAGGCTCCTTGATTAAAAATTAGTGTGTTTAACACAGCCATGCTACTCTAGATTGAAATTTAAAATACGACTTTAATCGAAAATATCAAAAGTTTTTGCCAAAACAAAACCAAAAGCAATTGAATACGTCAGTCAATCCTAATTCACTATCATATACTAACAAACAATACTATACTAACAAAAAGATAAAAACCGAGGTTTAATATGTGGTGCAAATGGGGTAACACCAGAACACCTTACTACTTATTTACAATGCCTCCTATGTGACACCGATTGCTGTCTCTACCAGTTAGGAATTACACTGCATCAAAGTGCACTCCAATCCCTCAACGTGCAGGACGAAAATGGTGCCAAAGTGCGCAGCAGGAAACCTTGCTAAAGGTATTTATTTATTAACGAACACTTTTTTTGTGTAGGTATGAGCTTAACCTAGTAGATACTGTAATTTAGACTGTAGTTAATTCGAGAAGAAAACGAAAATAAACAAAAATGAACCAACAAACCAAACCAAAACATACCTAACCAAAGCAATCAAACCACGCTGGAAGCTAAAACGCTTTAAGGTACACCCTTGCCTGATTGCTGGTGTCGAAGGGCTGGCCTCTCTGGAGTCGTCTCAGATACTGGCTTTTGTCAAACAAAGTTCCAATGAAGCTTTATTTAAAAAAAAACGATCGTAATTGGTCCTCCGACTACTAGCATACGTACGAGAATAGGTGTAGGGTGCAGTAGTTAATACGCGGATATTAAAAGAAAGGGGAGACCGTCAGCTGGTACTGAATATGCTGTGGTCCGTTCTAAATGTTTCATTCGTTCAAATATTTCAAAAATAAGAAACAACTAAATCATTAATCTTCAACAAACCACAAATATAAATAATGCGAACGTTAGCCTAGCCAATCGAAGCTGTTAGAGTTAGATAACAAACGAGTAGTTATATAATAATAAAGTAATGAAACCGTCTAGGTATCTGTTCAATAATCTATCCTACCTTCTATAGCAAGTACCGTTTGGAGAATGTGTGTGAATATTATACGTAAACGAAACTACCGACGACCTACATTTTATCAAGCACAATGAGCTACAGTGAAATCTATACCCTTTTTGTAATAAGTAATTTTAGTAAGAATTAATATTTTCGTTACGCATACAGTGCCCGATACTATAGATGATACTTTAGTGTAAGTGAAAATAAATACAATTGAAAATTGGAAAATTTGGACAATCACCAGACCATATTTAGTTGATTCTTTCTTTGTATTTTTCGTTATGCTCTTAGATTAAGTATAAGGTATATGCTCCAGGAATATAAAAATAATTTAGGTAATTGATAATTAAACCCAGTGGCGGCTTGTACTTAAGAGCAAAGATAATAAAACTCAATAAAATATATACCTATAGATATTTGAGTGCATGCTGATATTTTTATACAATCAAATACTGTACTCGTCGGGTAATTTCTAGCATAAAGACTATGAGGGGATAGATATTATCTATTAAAACTAGGTGGTAAGATTTTTTTCTGGAAGACCCCAAACCCTCCTTCAGATCTCTCGAGTCATCAGCTGGTTAATTCTTAAAAAGATCTTTAAAAAATCTAGCGAAAACCATTTCAATTTAATTTAAAATAGAATTATATTTGGTTATGCCGCTGGTTGAAGCACAAAATTTATACCTAGGCCCTGCTTTATCACCTAACGTCAGAATATATTGCGTAGTTAAACCGTAGGATCGAAATAAAAACGGTGTCTATGAAATGAAGGTCGCTGTCATTTTTTATATGTAAAATTATATGGGAAATGTCATCGATGTTCATTTCCATGCCAACTGGACACCGTTTTTTTTTTTTCGATCATACGGTATATTCTGTGGGTAATGGTTGAAGGCTATTTCTCTTCAATCAACGGTTATACTAATGACTTATTTAAATTACTAGCCGCATTTGTTGATTGATACCTTGTAATAAGGTTTACTATACTGTTATGAATTAGTAAAGGCACTATTTGCAAAATAAAGTCCACTCCAGCCACCATCCAGCAATAACCACCACTTCTTAAGGAAAGAAATAAAATTGAGATAGTTTCAATGCAGAAACGCAAAAAAGCAAAATGCAAAAAGCTGAAACTCGTATACATAACGTGGGAGTGACAGAAGATTTAGAAATAAAAAGGAGGTAAGACAGGGGTGTATTTTGTATCCAATGTTGTTCAACTTGAATGTGGAAAGAACATTCGTTGAGTCAATCTCCGACAGTTCCATTGGTTTAAAAATAAATGGTATTCCAATTAATAATAGCCGATATACTTTAAACAAAAAAGATTTTTGAAGTTCACCCTCAAGACCTACTATTTTAACATAGGCTATTATGTCCGAGGGTGATATGTCTCCTTGGTCTGATAGGTCCCTAACATGGTTTCGCCAACCACTTCAAACCTAGTCCTGCTCCCAGCACATAACATGCTTCATGGTTTCTGCGTTTGGATGGCCCTGCTAGGATTTTCTTGGCATGTTCCATTTCGGGACTGTCATTCCAGTCCCG